AAAAATGTAACGTGTAACCTGCTAATGGTGATGAAAATGGAAGAGGATTCTTTCCTCTTCTTTCCATTCTCTTTCCCTCTCTTCTTAATTTCTAACCATTAAATCAAGATTTGGAATAATTCAAATTTGATCTCTATTTTAAACTATTCTTATTATTTTTAGTAGTTTGAAGTTTATTACTTATATTTTTTATAATTTAATATTTTAATAATAATTTTGTAGAAGATCAATTTGAACCATGTAAATCTTCATTAGCAGCTAGAAAAAAAAAGAATGGAAGAGGAAGGAAATGAGAGGAGAGAATCAAAGCTTGATGGACATGGCAAGTTAATTAATGACTGGATGATGAGGGAAGAAATTTTTAATATTAGAAAGACATAATTAATCTATAGTTGAATTGAAAAAAGAGTCTCTCATTTTTTTCCTCTCATTTTCTCTCCACTTCCCTAATTTTCACCATTCATATTATTTTAAAAAATAATTTTTTAAATTATAGTATTAATATTGGGGAAGCAAAGAGAAAAGGAGAGGAAAGGAAAAACCCCTCTCCCAATTAAGTTTAGGGTATCTAGTGATAGAAGAAGGGCCTCTTTCAATTTTTTTTTTCCAGCTTTTCTCCACTTCCTCATTCTTATTATTCATGTCATTTTATTAAATAATTTTTTAATTATAAAATTAATCAATAGCAGAACAAAGGAGAGACTCCTCCCCATCCAGTGACACTTTAGATAAAAATTAAAAGATAAAATAACTTTTAACTCTTGTTTAAATGTATTTATTGGTATGTGTGAATTAATAGACTTGTATTTAATAACAATAATTATTAATTATAAATCAGACTATCTTAAAGATATTCTCTTTCTTCACTAATATATTAAATGAATGTTAGTCAACACATCCAATTTATACTTAGTTAAACTATTGATAAAGTATATTAATTAAGAGGGTAATTTAATCTATTTAATAAATTTTTAAATTATCCATTAAATTTAAATACTCCCTTGAGTTTTTATTATAAGACACTTCAAATTATCTCACCATAATAAAGAAGATATAGTTTAGTTATATATAATTTTGTCTAAAATAGAATAAACTTTCAATTCTATCCCTATTTAAATGAAAAAATTTTAAATTTATATTACATTCTTTCTCATAATTAATAAGTTTAAATATATGTAATATTAGAAAAATGTAATTAATATGTCATTGTGTGCTTTATATTAAGAACTAAAAAATGCTTTAAAAGTTGTCTTATGATAGGAGTGACAAATATTGTGAAAGAGAGGTAGTTTAAATTTTGATTTTTAAAATTGAGACTAAATTTTGCTAAAATCGCACCATTTTTCTTAAATCTTGCCAGATAAGAAAATCACACATCTTAGCTCTTGACTCTTGAGGTTTGTTTGAAATAACATGACCACATCCTTTTTTTTATGCAACTGAGAATATCCTCCACCAAAATGCAATATTAATGCAAATAATTTCTTAAGGACTATAGAAAGTGGTAGAGGGTAAATTTTTTCCAATTAGATTGCTTTTGTATATACATGTATATACAAAAGTTGAAAATGAAATTTTCAACTAGTTAGATAATGGACAATAAAATTCTATCACTCATGTCAATCTGAATTGATATTTGAACACATCCTTCATTTTCAACTAGTTATATAATGGACAATTAAGATTCTATCACTCATGTCAATCTGAATTGATATTTGAACACATCCTTTACTTTTATTTTCAAAAGTTTGTGAGGGCATCTTTATATAAATATATATAGAGTTATATTTCAGATCTCTTATTTGTTCAATAGTATATGTGAATTATGGTTTTCAAAATTATTCACATGTTCAAAAATCACTTGACCCTTGATTTTTCGTGGGTCGAATATTCACTAGATTTTTTTTTAATTCTTGTACTTATATTTTCAAACTTTAAAATGACGGAACAATAATATATATTTTTAAAACAAAAACCTGCCTTAGCTTTTGCCTTGGAAAATAGATATGACTATATATATATATATATTACTTGCAAAATTCCTTCTGCTCTTCCTTGTTCAAACTTTGTTTGTGAAAGCGTCGTGGAAAATATTTATTTTCTATTATATTTAACACACACACACTGTAAGGAAATTAAATATAAATTTTTTATTTTAAAAAAATATGGTATGAATTGCGAGTGCTGCTGTATCTTTTCTTATTTCTTCATATATGACGCAATCATTTGAATTTCCGACGTGAAAAAAGTAAAAAAAAAAAAAAATCAGTTGAGAGTGACTCTATAGTATATACCCTCAATTATTTCTTCTTTTTCTTTGACCAGAAATTATATATGTATGTATGCATGTGTATCCCCTCAACTCGTAACATGCCCCAAAAAAAAAAAAACAATGTAGTTGCCATTTGCCTCGAGTTTAGTTTAATTTTCTGGTAGTGCCATAGTGAAATCATTCTAAACTTGAGGAGTACACTCACAGGAAAATGAAACAAAAACTAAAGGACAGTTACCATCCACCTTCTAAATCTGAAAACATAGAAATTAGTTAATTAATTAAGAGATCAAGTATTAAAGGAGGAGAATACCCAACTAGATATATTATTGCAAATGCAAATCTAGCTAGCTAACGCTTACAGTGTCGTTTTGCAAAAGCTTTTTTAAATTGTTCGGTGGCTGATCTAGGTCATGCACACCTCATATCCATAAAAATCGCAAAAAGGCTAGAAAATAAATACATTTATTTCACTTTCAAAAATATGTAATTAATCTCGACTTGCCAAACCGTATGTAAAAGTGAATGGATTTGAACAAGAAACCTTCTTTAATTGTTCTAAACCATTTGAATTTGCCTCAGACAAAACCTTCATTAATTTGATTTGTTGCGATCTTTGTTCTCCACATAATTAATACATCAAATATAATTATAAATAGAGTTAGGAACCATATTGAGTCATGCTAGTACCTACATATAATAAGAGTAGATTTTATTATAAACTCTTTCTCCTGTCATTTATGAGACATTTTTTAATTAAATCATGTGAATTATAAAAGGTGATTGAAATTAATTAAGAATCTTGATATTTTTAAAATTTATATATAGAAATCCCAAATTATCCTTTAATTAAAATGATTAATTTTTATTTTTAAATTTTAAAGTCAAATATGTCATCCAAATGAACCAAATATAAACATTTTTGGCAATAACCCATTAATAAAATACTTCATTATGTTTTACAGAATGTCTTATATTGAGAATATATAGGGGAAAATATATATATATATATATATATATATATGAGTTTTTTTTTGAGGATATATAATATTTAATTTGGCTTCTTTATTGCAAGCTTAAATTCACAAAAATACACCCTGATGAAGACAAAACCCAATCTAGCTAGCTACTTACACCAAATTACATGACCAGATCAGAATTAAATAAAAAATCAACAAATAATTACTCAGACTTTTGTACAGTGAAAAGAACCTCATCACTAGCTGCTTAATTAATCAATCTCAGTCAACTTCTGGATACTCTCTAACACAGGCTCCTGTTCCGGCCAGCACGATGACGCTGAAGATCTCTGGCCCCCATTAAACGAACCAGAACTTGTTCTGCAGAAACACTACTCTTCACCTTCCTAATTCCCTTCTTCTTCTTCATCATCTTCTGCTTCTCTATTTCTCTCAATAACACTTGAAGCTCCTTCTTTGTAATCTTTATCTTAATCTTCCCATAATTAGAAGAAGCAGAAGCACTTAATAACAAATCTCTATTCAACTCATCCAACACCTTCGTTGAGCTCTTGTCTTCGGATGTCAGAGAACTCCAATCGTCGCCACCCCAGTGCTCAGCTGACGAAGACGGCGTCTTTCCGCAGCAGTTTCCCATAACAGTAATCCAATTTGGATATATAGATTCAATATATGAGATTGTTGTGTATATGCAAGTATTTAAATGAAGATAAGCGGAGATAAGATTGAAATTTAAGCTTGAGAATGAAGATGAGATGGATAATGAGATAAGGGACGTTGTGTGGGGTTTATATATATAATATATATATAATATATATATATAATGAGAATAAGAGAAGGTGGGTGACTGGGTCGTCACTAGACTCCATTGTTTGATATGTTGTTACGTGGCTGCTTTTGTGGGATGGGTTTTTATTGACCAAAATTTAATCCTTTTTGCCGTCTCAGACTCCACATATAAATATACTTATATACACATGCATCATAGATGTGAGTGTGTAGAGAAAGAGACCACCCATTTTTTTTTTAAGCATTTTGAAACTTACACAAAATTTTTTAAAAATTAATGAATAAATTATATTTCATTCATTAAAAAATTTAAGACATTTTTTTGGTCAAGATGTTAAAAATATAAAATATTTTAAGTTTTTCAAGGTTCAATTAATGAAGTGTAATAATTTGGCTAAAAGTTTCTTATAATATAGAATGGAGGGAATATCAACCTTTCTCAAACCTTTTGAAAGGGTAAATGAGTAAAATATTCAATGAACTTCGGGTCCAATAATACCTCAGACTCTAAATTGGTTTATTGTGTAAATTATTCTTTCAACTTTTAAAAACGATACAATTTAATTCTTTCCATTAACGAAAATTAATGTTGACAATTAGTTTACTAAAAAATGATATAAAAAATTACAGAAAATAATCAAAAAAAAAATTTTAGTCCTCCTACGTAATTTGGGGATCATTATTATAATTTTTTAGTTTTTTTGTGTGATTTTGATGTCATTTCTGATCATTTAATATCAAAATTAACTTTTTGTTAATGGCCAAAGGCCTGATTACTTTATTTTTAAAGTTAAGAAAATAATTTAAATGATAAATAAATTCAAGAGCTATACTGCTACTTAACCTAAAATTTAAGAAATAATTTATTCATTTATTCCTTTTAAATTATATACGGATCTCGTACGCTTTACACAAATTTTTAAGAAATGAGTGAATTGTATTACTAATTCCAGTATACCTTCACTGGTTTATATAGATTTATTGATATTGATAACATGGATTTTGTTTGTTTAACATTTCCAATGCTCACTCAAAACTACTGCTGTAAACAAAGAAAAGAATAAATTACACAACAATTTATTCAATTTTTTGAGTTTGTAAAATTACATACACATATTCCTTCTACTTTCTAAACTAATGATATTTATTTAAAAACATTGAAGATGTCTGTGTATTTAACAAAATTTGCAGAAAATATGTAATTTATTGGTAATTTTCTTTGAGAGTTTTATATAACTTTTAATAAGAGACTATATATAATTTTTTCCAAAACTAGAAGATATTAATTAATCCTTGGAACATATATGGGAGACTAGCTAATAGTTTTTTCTTAAAAAAGAAATTTGCATTTGCGTGCGTACAGTAGTGAAGCCACATGTAATGCCCCCTCAATTGGAAAAAAATGACATGATTGGTAGTATAAGGCTTTCTATTTTATAATTTGCACCTTTTACTTATTATACTTTGTACCCCCTTATTTTTATATTTTAAACTTTAAACTCATTTCAATCTTACTTTTTTAGCTTTATCTATTCAATTTTTTAACTTAGCCTCATAAATATTATTCCAAAATTTCACTATACTTAAATCCTAATATTATTTATTAATTGTTTAAAAAAATAGAAAAAAAAAATTAATATGACTAAATAGACTCACTCTTTGCCCTAAAGTATACTTAGGGACTAGTTAGGAAAAAAAAAAAGCAATAATAAACAATGAAGATTCAAAATTCAAGAGTAATTGGGTGAATATTTTTTACTAACTCACTACACTTACGAATCTTAATTGAAAACTAGATGGGGACAAAGCAAAATAGAGAAGAAAAAATAAATAGTTAATTTGGAAGAGATAAAAATGTCTTTTTTTTATCGAGAATCTTAGCTTTGTTATTGCCCCTGATCCAAGATCCTAGTTCTGCAACTGCATATGTAGTAAATTGAATATACAATTATAAAAAAAAAAGATATATAAGTTTGATACATAAAAGATAAAACAGCTGAAGAGAGAGGAATGTGAAAAGGGATACCGAAGAAGCATCTTGGATAAGGAATCCAATAATAGTGTGTGAACTTAGATGTGAACAAGGAATCTTGGACTTCCAATATTTGCCTCTTAATTCATTAACAATAGCCTTCACGTGTCTGCTTTTTAACACTTAATATCCATATTCCCTTATTTGATTTGATTAATTCTCAATTATATGTACACGCTTTTAAAGATTAAACTAGTTCGTACTTTAATTTATTTATTAAATGCCTGCTTGCTAATAGTCTAAATGATTTACATAGTATCTAAGGTGAACAACATATCAATTAAATAATAAGTCGAATTATTTAATATTATTCGATCCATGAATAAGAATGAGTATAAATGACGAATTGAAAACGTGGGTCTTTATGTATAAAAACAATTACTGCTATCCTTTTAAGTTTTAATCGTTTTCTTTCCTCTCGCATATATATAATAACTGTAATTAAATGTAACATGTTAATTTATATACATTTATCACATCATTTTCACTCCAGAATAGCATTTTTCCCCCCTAGAAAATACATTTTGTGGAGAATTTGACTTTAACTTTGATTAAAATGTGGACTTTTCATATTATAAAATATCATTTTGTATGCAGATGAACCTCAAGAAATTTATTTTGTATGCAAATGGTTTCTTAATTAACATTTTGAGTGATTTACACATAACTATGAATTAAATTAATTAAATTTTAAGTGATGTGAAAGGTAATCTCTCAATGATAATTTGTTAGTGAAATCACTCATATAAATCTGAAAACACGTAATATAACTAACCTGGTATACCATTGGTTGATATTATTAATATTTTAAGCGATTATGTAATCAGAATTAAGACATTATGATACTACAAAGTATAACATACCAAAGAGTGCATCAGTTTAAAACACTATATCCGAATAGTCACGGACTGATGAGTAATATTATTTGTCAGAATGATTTTGCTGGTGTTGTTAGAATTTTTTGAAAAATGGAAGATGAGGGTTCAAGTCAGAAGAGTAAGTTATTTGGGTTGGGGCAGGAGGATTCACAATTAATTGAATGAAAAAGTTGGCATCAAACCCACAGGAAAAGAATACCATGATTTGAAGCCCATAGGACTATGTTACTGCTTTTGATGAAACATGTGATGAAATTCTGATACATGCACATGATAAAATTCAACGCGCGCGCGCGCACATGAGAGAAGATGAATCCGTTTGTGATACTAATAATGTTATATATCTGCATGATCTCTGTCCAATATATATATATATATATATATAAAGAACATCTATTTGAAAGTGCCAAATAATAGTATATCATGATAAAAAAATAAATTAATTAATTTTTAAACTTTCATTATAAAAACATTATAGACATATTATACTAAGTATTGTTAAGATATTAGGTTTGTATTACTGTTTTAAATAAAAAATTAGTTTTAAATGAAAGGGACAACAAATTGAAAGGAAAATAATATGTAAGGCCCATATATTTTTACCCTCAATTTTTTTTGCTAACTATGGAAAAATTTTGGAGAAAAACTTAAATTTTCAAATTTATTCACGAATCTTTTCGTTTTCTATCTTTTGCCTCCCTCCATTTTCATCTTAGTTTTCCCTCCTCTTTAAAATTTAGATTATTATATATTTAATAATTTAATAAATCAACTTTAAAATTGGACAAAAAAAATTTTTTTTGGCTAGAACCAGATAAAATACCTTACAATTTTATTTTTATCCATCAATAATATATAATAAAAATTATATAAATAATATTTTAAAATTTTAATTTATTATATATAAATATTTTTCTATAAATAATAAGTTATTATTATCCAAATGAAATTAGATGTTTTTTCCTTTCATTTTCTCTCGCTCAGCTAAGAATATGGAGAAGAAATTACAATCCTCAACTTTTTTTTTCTCTTCACATTTTAAATTTTTTCCTTTTTCCTTTTTCCTTTTTTTTTTTTTAGTCCAGCACAACATAAGACTCTATAAATAACGTTAACACATCTTATTTTGTGTATCCTTTTGAATGAATAAGAATTGAATATCAAGTTGTTCTCTTTCTTCGAGTTTTTCTTTTCCCTCATCTTCTCTCTCTCCCCTTTCGGTTTGCATCAAAATGACAAACGATAAAAGTCGTACATAATTAAATATTTCTTTGGGGAAAAAAAAGGAAAAGTAGTAAATATTGACATTGATGACTAATTTAGACCCTTAAAAATTTAAAACTTGTACTAAATATCAAAAGTAAATTATTATTGATATATTTTCCAATTATAATTCATATTTTATAAATATTCTTCAAGTGTACTGATACATTGAAAATTTGAAAGTAATAACTTTGCAATGTCGAGAAAACCATATGCTAATTTTAGAAAGTATAGATGATATATATGATTTAAAAAAGTGATAATTTATTTTTATAATTCATCAAAAAATATTGTAATTTTTTAAATTTTGATGATTAAGATTATGAGTTATGATATTGAAATATTTTTTTTACTTCAGTTCTCCCACTAGACGTGAGGCTCGGGAGACAAGGCCTGTCATTTCACTTAGGTAGGTTGGTGGTTGGAGGCTCATGCAATCTTTCTAAACGTAAGGGACAAAATTGTTTAGGTGCTCTAAAAATTTATCCAACGTTAATTTATATTCGTGAATCCTGAATGTGATAAAATATTTAAGGTTTTTTTTTGTATATATTAATTAAATAATGAATGTCATAAAACAAAATTTTGACATTTTCAATTATAAAAACGAATATGCCAATCTTTGTTCAGAGAAGTTGAATATGGTGCCTCTTTGGCTGAATATTTAAAGTTGATTATTTTTAGCTTTTCACATTAAAATTGAGAGATATATAATATTAATAATTATTATTTTTATTGCCACCGTTCAATAATAATCAATATATTTTTGTCCAAATATATTTGAAATATCTCTACACTCAAAATTATTTTT